TGTGAAAAACTATAATAGTACACAGGATCCTAATGAGACAATTAATAATGTGAAATAGGAAGTAAAGGGCTAAAGGTGTAAGGAAAGTGGGAAGGGTGGGGGAAAGGTAATAAGGGAGAGGAAAAAAAATGAGAAACTGAAAAATGGAAATAAAGTGTTTGTAAATGGGGAGGGGAGGAGGGGGTGAAGGGAGGGCAGGGACAAGGGGAAAAATGAGAATCAAGACCTATTATGTAAAGGTACAGAATCCCAATGATGAATGTAACTGTATTGTATACCTAGATTGTACCAATAAACTCAATAAAAAGAAAAACAATTTTTAAAAGGGCTGGGGATACAATTCAGAGTGGAGGCTCTGGGTTCAGTCCCCAGTACTGCAAAACAAAACAAAACAAAAAACAAACAAACAAAAAAAGAATAGTAATACTGTCACTGGAATTTGGGGCAAAAGCAGACCAGGCCTGGCTACCTGTCCCACAAAGCTAATGCAGGAGCTGAGCGGCAGTGAAGGGCAAGGAAGGAGCTTTTATCCGTGTGGTCACACTGGGATGCACAGCGCTGTTAAAGAAACTGGGCTTTTATAGAAAAGGGGAAGAAAAGCAAGGGCTGGGGTTTTACTGTTATCACTGGGGTTACGCAGCTGTCAGTATAGGAATCGTGGTCAAGCAGAGGCCTGGCTGATGGGTGGGTAGCTCAAGCGGTTTCCTGAGGTCCTGGGAAGGCCATCATCATCTGAGAATGTCAGTTCCCATCATGAGATGGCAGCTTCTGCTTTGTAGGAACAGCCTCATGGGGTAATTGCTGCCCTGGGGGTGACTACATCATGGGTTGTCTGAATGGTTCTGCTTTTCTTGGAACCCAGGTGGCTTCAGGTTTAGGACAATGTGTCAAGACTTCCAGCCAATGTTCCAGGGGGTCTGGAACTGGACTTTGTAAAAGTTGGCAGTTGGGTGTTCCTACAAATTCTCATCTTGGTGTCTTCAGTCTTGAAAGATAGCCTAGGTAAATTTAGTGTCAATGAACCTTGTAATACTCCTTAGTGATTAACATGCTTATGTGCAGAGCTGAGCAGGGATCTGATCCAGTTTTTGTGTGATAAGAGAGACTAAAGCTGAGGCAGAGATGCTAAGCTTTATTTTCTTTTTGACCCTTTGGACATCTGCAGGTCCAGCCTCTCAGTCCCTGTTACAACACCTCCCTACTCCTCTTTTCCTGCCATCCAAGGTTACTCTGAGGCTCAGGAAATGTAATAATCTAATCCCCAATGAGCTCTACTAAGTAGGTTCAAATGTCATCCCCATTTCTATATTAGGAAAGTGAAGCTTACTCAGTCAGTTTTATTTGCTGAGGACAGACTACTGGTGAGTGACCACACTGTGTTCCTATCTCTTGGAAAGTAGTATTCGCTCTACTGTAGCATCAGACCACCTACAAAAGCACTCTAAGGTAAGGGGTAGGTACAGCTCAGAGGTAGAGAACTCTTTCACATGCAGGCCCCAGGTTCAACCCCTGGCACAACAGCAAAAACAGCGGTTGGAAACCCCCATAAATAATCTAACTTGAGAGTTTATGAAGGAAGCAAAAATAAAGAATTCTGGTTCCCTACCTTTAAAGTAATACACACACACACACACACACACACACACACACACACACACACACTTCAAGAAAAAAAATCAACCACATGCTTTTGTGAGGCCCAAAACAAACCGAAATACTGATTTTATGTACCAAAACCTTCCTGCAATTGATTTATTTGGGGTTACCTTGTTCTTTTACCTTTCAAGGCATATCAATCTGGACTTAGCTTCTAATAAAGTAAATCCTATGTGTATGATTTCAAAGTAGAGTATATAAAATAGAGTCAGTTGGACGTTAGGTATTTGCATAAAAAAGATACACACACACACACACACACACACACACACACACACACACACACACTCGTCAAGAAAAGAAAACATAAAACCACCAAAATACAAAGATTTTAGGGCTACAGGTGTGCCTAAGTACTTGTCTAGCATGTGCAAGTTTTTGAGCCCTAGCATTACAAGAAATAAATAGCTGAGTGATTTTTAATAAGCAAGTGTTCAGTGTTCTTCCATGGCCAATTAAGGGAGAGGCTAGGCTAGGGAAAGTGGTATTTGGGGAGGGGGCGAGGGAGTAAGTAGTTAGAAAGACAGACACATCCAGGTGTGGTGGTGCACACACATGATCCTAGTACTCAGGAGGCTGAGGCAAGAGGATCACTATGAGTTCAAGGCTAGTCTGAGCTACATAGGACAACCCTGTCTCAAACAAACAAATGACATGGACATTTGCACACTTAAAGCACAGCCATGTCCCCTGGCACTTACATGACCCTACCTTGTAGAGTGAAGCATAACTCAGCTGTTCCCAGTGACTGACTGACTGCTCCTCTATATTTTCAGGGCCTGGGGAAGGCCAGGCATAGCATGGACGTAAATAAGCATGTGCAGAATAAATGGCTAGAAAAAGAGATTGGAGCAAACAGGAGCAAGTTGTGGAGGAAAAAGACAAGTTTGTGACTGAGGCATACTTAGAAAGAGTCTATGAGACACCCAGTGGGACACGCAGGGATAAAAATGTACAAAGCTCCAATAAAACAGCAATGTTTCTGATTTTAGAAGATTATTCTAAATTATATATTAAAAAGAAAAAACAAATATGAATAACCAGGAAAACTTGGGGGACAAAAATATAAATGAGAACAGACATTACCAGTTTTCAATAATTAAACTATGCCAGACAGATTAAAGGTACACAACAGAAAGTCCAGAAATAGATCTGGATCCAGATGGTGCTTTAGGAAGTAATAAAGGCGGCAACTCCAGCGGCTGGAAAAGGAGGGACCAGTCAATGCATTGTTAGCCAGCTGGAAAAAAACTGGATCCCTTCTTGCACTTTAGATACACAAAGATGAATTCCAAAAGGATCAAAGATTCAAATAGATAACATGAAACCATGAAAGTATCAGGAGAAAATAGGAGAGATATCCTTATACCTCAGGTGGACAAAGCCTTTCTGACTTTAGATCAAAACCCAGAAACTATAAAACAAAAGATAGTGCTTCTATTCCCACCACCCCATCACAAGCACCGATGTACAAAACATACACGACGAACACCCCAGAAGCAAGGTCAAATGATCAATGACCATATCATAGATAAAGGGCTGACTTCACTAAATAGATTAAATGCCTAAAAATAAACAAGAAAAAGATTAACAGCCAAACAGAAAAAGTGGGCAAAGTATGTAGAGAGTCCACAGGAAAGAAAATACAAGTGGTTCTTCAACATATGAAAAGCAGCTGAACTTACCTCATCGTAAGAGAAAGGCAAACTAGAGCTACCCTGAGATACCAGTTGCCTGGCCCTGGGCACATCTGTCTGCTGACACTTTCCTACAGGACCAGGGACCAGGGACAGGAGGAAAAGGCACCCTTAGCTCATGCACTGGGGTGTAAATCCCTGTAACTCTACAGAGGGCAATCTGACAGTACACACATATAAATTCTAAAGGACACTGGCATTCAGTCTGTGCTTCCCTGCAGCATTATTTGTAATGGAAACAGACTAGGAACACCTAAACTGTCCATCCCTAGGGGACTAGTTCAGTAAGGCATGATAAATGCAAATAACACAAGGTATGCAGTGCAAAACAAAATCAAAGCTTTCTGTGTACTAATACAGAAAGATCTTATACCACATCAAGTGAAAAAAACCAAGAACAGTATATATAAAAGTTACATTCTCTGTTTTAAAAGAGCCAACTGCTGCATTTGTTTGCATATATAAAACAACAATCTCTGAAGAAAATGTTAAAAATGAGTAACAGAACCAAGCGTGGTGGTGCATGCCTATAATCTCAGCACTCTAGAAGGCTGAGGCAGGAACATTGCAAGTTTAAATCCAGCCTGGACAACTTAGCAAAACCATGTCTCAATATATAAAAAAAATTATACTACTGAGGAGGTAATACCAAGGCCCTGGGTTCAATCCCAAGTACTTCAAAAGCAAAGCAAAACAAAAAACAAAATGTAACAGAAGTTGCTTAGGTGGGGGGTGGAGAACAGGGCAGGGGGACCGTGTTGGGAAGGCTTTTCATCTCTCAGGGGTAGGCAAATTACCCCACATTCCTGTTTTTGTAAATAAGATTTCATTGGAACATGGCCACAGCCATTCACTGTGTCTGGCCACAAGGTCTACGGACTTTTCTTCTCACAAAAGCAAAGTAATTGCCACAGAGGTTTTATAATTTGACCCCTTACAAAAAATGTTTGTCAATCCATTTTATAGATATTAATATTAATATAGATATTAATTTTTAAACCACAATTAATGTATTTTGTAAGACAACAAAAGGAAAAAGGAAGTGAATGAAAGGGAAACTGAGGACAAAACCAACTTGGAAGGAAGGGCTCCTTGAGGTGGCAGCTGGGTGGAGGGGATGGGTGTGACTTTGAGGTCTCACAGTTTTCTGTTGGGATTCTGGCTGTGTCACTACCCACCCGGATGTAACCTGGTGGGTCACTGGGGCGGGAGCTTTGGTTTCCTGTGCCATGGTGCAGGAACATCCACCATAATAAAAATAAGAGAGAAAAACAAATGGTTGAGGAGCACGCAGCACAGCCTGGTGAATGTAGGTGCTCAATGAATGCCTGGTCGCCATTATTATTTTGTTCCTTTTGGGCCACTGTAGGTACACCTGGAGACCTTACTGCCTCTGACATCATTACTTTGGGCAGTGTTTTCCAAGTTCCAAACCCTGGGGATACAGCCCAGGGACCACAGAGGATTTATCAGGGGCGCTGCCAATCATCTTGGAGTCTCATGATTTTCTATTTGTTAGTTCTGCCCTACAGCAGAAGAAAGGCAGCTGTGGAAGGGGACGACTCCTGGGAGTATGGGTGCCCACTGGATGAGAAGCACAGCTGGGCTCAGCAGGTGGTATGGCCTTGGCAGAGGGTGCTGCTTTTACTCCCAGGAGAGGGCTTCTTCAGGAAAACCTCTGCTCCGTGTGGCCTCAGTAAGCCGGGAGGGAAAGCTGGGCTCATCCACCTCTACCACAGGAGCCCTAAACCAAGTTCCTCTTTTTAACAAGACAGCACCATGTGGGAGACCTGGTGGCACAGACTACCAGGGGAGAGCAGGAGCTCCATAGGTCCTCATGCCCCAAGGTCTAGCTTCTCAGGGCTTGCTTTGGTTCTGGACGCTTCAGTTCTGGCCAGCCTCTGTGCAGCGCCAGGGTCTACTGATGGGGAAACATTGCACTGGGTCTCCTGTGCCCCTGGGGCATCTCTCCCTACCCTTCCCAGGCCTCTCCTGCTTGGACTATGCTCTCTTTCTGACTTCCTTGCAACAGCACACCCCACAACTTAGCCTTTACACCTCACTGACCCATACCTACTCTTAACTAATATGTAATGACATCGAGTTGAGACCCAGCTTTTTGTTTGGTCACTGCCAATAAATATGAACAATCATCTTCTTTCTCTGAGCCTTAGGTTTCTCAGTGAATGAGTTCCAAACTGGTCTCTGACGCACCCTGTAGCCAGGGGACAGCAAGTACCCAATAGCCCCCCATGGGGCCCCAGCCACAGGGGCTTCAAGCCAGCTCCACAGTTCTTTGCAGTCTTGTTCTTTTATTTTTCAAGATCACGTGAATGTTGCATTCCAGCCCAATCCACCTATGTTATAGAAACCTTTACATAAACTTAACTTGCCGACAAAGAATGAGCGAGACACTTACCATGGAACCCAGCAGGAGTTCCCTGCAGGCCGGGACACTGAGCTCTAGTTCAGGGAAAGGCTCTGTGCTGACCATGAAGCCCTTCGGCATCCGGAAGGGGATGCCATCCAGGGCACTCATCCTGTCTGAGGAGTGTGGAGATGGCTCAGAGGGGCTGGCAGGCTGCCTGGTGGTAGGGAGAGAGTGTAGAGTCCTGAGAACCAGTGGCCTTGCCACTGTTCTGTGTGGTCACCTAGCTGGGCCCCAGAGCACTGGAAAGGAAAAGATGAAATGAATTGAGATTAGATCCACAACACTGGCTCTAAAATATCACAAGAGTTGTCACCTCAACTCTCTGTTTAGAGAAGAAACGCCACCAAGTTAGACAAAGTCTTGCAAAGAAGAAATATAAGGGATGCTTTCTAATTCATTTTGACTTCATCGAAATCTTGATACCAAACTTGACAATAAAATGGGAAACCATTCTCTCATGAACACAGATGCAAAAATCTTAACAAAAATAATTATGCCAAGCTGAACTTATTCCTAGAATGACAGATTAGCTTAACATTCTAAAATTATTCAATAGGAGTAAAGATAAATATCAACAGAATAAAGATGAAAAGTGATATAATCATATATCTCTGTTGTTGTACCCAAGTTGTGAGATCCCCAAGAAGACCACCAAGGAGTCGAGTCCGATGTAATTACATGAGGAGTTTATTGCAGGCTCGAGCCCGGCAAACTCGAGCCTGGACCTCCAGTGGCACCGTCACAGCGGCTTCCAACTGAAGGCCCCAACTTACTTTCAAAGCATGATTATATAGGGTTTAGGAGGCTTTCTCTTTTTATTGGTACTATTTTTAACTTTCTATTTCAGGCAGGGGAGGGTACTAATTCAGAGAAAGTTTAGGGCATTCTTTCTTACAGAGAATTTGCGTAGATACTTTCAGGAATAGGAGGGTAGAAGCAGGAAATTACTAATATCTAAGGGAGGAACGGTTTAAGGTCAGTATGTTCCTTTTTCCAAAGAACATCCTATGTGATTAAACAATTAGGCAAACTCTTTATACCTAACAAAGCATATAATTTTCTTACTTAACCTGTTTCTAACTATCTTATTCAAGCAACTATCGGGGAGGAGACAGTTTTATCCTCGGGTCAAAGGAAGAGGAACAGAAACAGGGAGGAGACGGGTTTATACAGAATGGAGTTTCTGCAGTTCTCTGCCCAGGAGATTTGCTGGGCAAAAGTGCAAAGAGGGAGCCCACCTCGATCAGAAAACTTGGTTCCTTCATCTATTATAGCAGCAACTTACAGTCCACAGTGGGGCAGCTCTTAGCGGTACAGCGAGATCAGGCCAAGAAGAACTGAGAACGCCCCTGCAGGCTGGAGGCAAATGAACAGCTTTATTACACCGGCAGACTGATCGGGGATTTCTCCCAGAGCGATCAGCCCGGAGCTGGCAGCAAACAGGTTTACATGGGTTAAGGGAAGGTAGGTGGGAACACAGAAGCAAGGCATTTATCATAGTTCATTGGTTGAGGAAGTTACATTTTGTTTACATGATTTGAGAGAAAAGTACACTGGATACAGACACTGAGAGCAAAAGACAACGAAGGGACATGTGTTAGGTGTGGGAGGGGGTATGAGCTGGGGTGACTCTTTACCAGTTAGGTCAGCTAGGTGCAGGAAGAACCTTTTTTGCTCAGAAATCCTTTTCTGGCTCATTATAGAGGCAGAAAAAAATTAATAAAATTAATAGTCATTCATAATTTTAAGAAGCAACTAAGCCAGGCATGGTGGCACATGTATGTAATCCCAGGATTCTGGAGGCTGAGGCAGGAAGATCACAAGTTCAAATCCCACCAGGGCAACTTAGCGAGACTCTGTCTCAAAATAAATAATTATGGGCCTGGAATTTAGCTCAGCGGCACTGTGCCTGCCTTGCAAGCAAGCACAAAGTCCTGGGTTCAATCCTGCGTACCAAAAAAAAAAAAAAAAAAGAAAAAAAAAAAAAAAAAAAAAGGAAAGAAAAAGAAAAAAAATTATAAAGTGCTGAGAATATATAGCTCAGTGGTAGAACACCCTTGGGTTCAATCCCCAGTACCACAAAATAAACACACTCATAGCAACTTAAAGACAGAAAGTAGTTTCCTTAACTTAATGAAGAATATGTCAGCAAAGCCACGCTAGTACATCCCTAAAATCCCAGCTACTTAGAAGGCTGAAGCAGGAGGATTCTGAGTTTGAGGCCAGCCTAGGTAATTTAGTGAGAACTTGCCTCACAGTAAACAAAAATGAAAAGGAGTCAGGAGATAGCTCAGCACTCTCTGGGTTCAATCCCCAGTATCAAGAGGAAGAGAGAAATAAAAAGGGGGGGGAGAGAAAGAGAGAGGACGGAGGGGGAAGAGAAAAGAAAGAAAAAGAGACTCTCTGAAACATCAACAGTAAACAGGTCAGAGGTGAGATGCTGAAAGATATCTTTAAGATGGGAAATGACAGAGGGCACACACCGTCCCCGTCACTTTTCTTCAGCAGATGGACCAGCTTGTGCATAAAGGGAGGGAACATAAGGAAAGAGAAAACCACCATTATTTCTACATGACATAAGTAGATGAGAAAAATCCAAAAGAATCTATGACCAAAACTTAGAATCAGTAATCTAGCATGATAATTGGAAACAAATAGACAAAATAAATTATATCTGTATATATGAGCAAGAATCCATGTTAAATAGCCTCTTCTAGGAATTTTATTACAGCTGGGCGTGTAGTCCCAGCACTCAGGAGACTGAGATAGGAAGATTGCCACCAGTTTGGGCCCAGCCCGACCCTGTCTCAAAAACAAAGAAAGAACTTTATCGGTGATTAAAATTTTAAAAATATACTGTTTGTATTAACATCAATCATCAACAACTAAATCTTAGCACTAGATGTTTAAGACCTCTACACAGAAAACAAGTACAAAACATTAAATGGAGGAATATATCATGTTCAAAAGATGGTAAAACTCATCGCTTCTCGGCCTTTTGGCTAAGATCAAGTGCAAAAGATGGTAAAACTCAATATATAAAAATATAAATTTGGAGCCGGGTGTAGTGGCACATGCCTATAATCCCAGCACTTGGGAGGCTGAGGCAGGAGGATCGCTGTGAGTTCGACCAGTCTGGCCCACATAGTGAATTCCAGATCAGTCTACATAGTGAGACTCTGCCTCAAAAAAACAAAATCAGAGTGGGAGAAGATATTTACGACACATCTATAAACACAGGACTCATGTCCTATATATATAAAGAACACCTACTAACAATGAAAAAGGCAAGAAATTTTAATAGGTACTTCACAAAAGAAGCTACCCAAGTAGGCAATGAATAATTTGTTTAACCTCACTCTCAAGTATATGCAAAATAAGTGAGATACCACGACACACACCTCATCATAGATGGTTAATCCAAAAAAGACCAATGATGTCGTGTCGATGAGGATGTGAACATCTGTAACTCCCAAGCACTGAGCAACAGTGTCTACTAAAGCTGATGTACTAGAAAAACCCACTCACATATTACTTTTTAAGCTTTTAGTTAAAGTCAAATGTAGCATCTATCCTTAGTTTAGTAATACAAGTACCAGGGATTAAATACCAAGTCTGTTTCCTTGAAGAAGAAAAAAAAAAGGGGAAAAATCCTCATTTACACCAGATATAAGCTCACAACTGAGTGTAACATAAACCTAGACTCCTGAGCACAGCTAGGCACCCTATGAACAATCAGGGCTGACAGTGCAAGCTGCTGGCTCAACACTATCTGCCACCCCTGGCAGGGTAACGCAGAAGCCAGCTGCTCTGGGGTCATGGTGCGGTCAGCCTGTTCCCTGCAGGAGCACATCATGCAGAAGTAGCACGGACAGGTCAAACAAGGCCAGGGGCAAATCCGTTAATTCCTCACCCCTCCCACTCCTGTCTCTTCTCATCAACGTCTTCCCATCCAGGAGGCTCATCCACACCAGTCAGTGCCCTGCAGCCTCGGGGGACAGCATCAGGCAGCTTCTATGCAGCCAGCCACTTAGCTGCCCCACTGGCCACTTCTGACAGGGCGGCTGAGGCTCCCTGTCTCACAGGGACTCAGGGATGGTCAGTAAGTTGTGGCATCCTTGATTTACTGCTCACATGTTCAGCTGTCATTTGAATTTTCTTCTACTGAGACTCAGGTATGAACTGCCTGTTAGCCCCTCATCTTTGACCCAGCACCTGCATCCCAAGAGGTCTTCCTACTCAGCTCTATACCTGCCTCTGGTATAGGCAACTGGAGGGTTCTGGGGATTTCTCCTCCTCCTCTTCCTCCTTCTCTTCTGCTGTACTGGGGATTAAAACCAGGGCCTTTGCACTGCGCTAACATCCCCTACCCATTCTTTTTATTTTGAGACATGGTCTTGCTAAGTTGTTAAATTGCCCAGGCTGGGTTTGAACTTGCGATTCTCCTGCCTCAGCCTTCCAGAGTGCTGAGATTATAGGCAGGTACCACCATGCTGGTCTCAAGGAATACATCTGTAAAGAGAAATAAGGGCTGTAGTTTAAGATATGATGCAGTTAGAACATATTTTAAAATGAGGGCACCTCTCTAAGAACAAAATGAGAGACGTAGATCATTAGGTAAAGACATTAGGGTTCACTGCCAGTTTGCCCCAAGGAGTGCCTCTAAAGTGTTCCAGTCCTTATGGGGCTCGGGGACACTTTAGGACACAGATGGAACGGACCTAGATCCTGGAGAGGGTTGGGGAACAGCCTGTGAGCAGCAAAAGGGTCAGATGGAAAGCAAGACTCCACAAAAGGAGCAGCTGGAGCCAGGGAGCAGAGGCTGCTTGCAGATGGTTGTTCTAGGAAGCTGTCAGCACCAAGATGGAAATGGTCACCAGGACTGGCAGTGCACTCCTGTAATCTCAGCACTCTGGGAGGCTGAGGCTGGAGGATCACAAGTTCAAGCCCAGCCTGAGCAATTTAGCGACTTAGCAAGACATTGTCTCTGAATAAATGGTAAAATTAAAAAAGAGTTGTGGGGCTGGGGATGTAGCTCACTGGCTCCACCGCCTGCCTCGCAAGCACAAGGACCTGAGTTCAATCCCTGGTACCAAAAAAAAAAAAAACAAAACAAAACAAAAAAGAGTTGTGTATGTAGCTCAATGGGAAGCCTCTGGGTTCAATCCTTAATGAAAAAAAAAAGAAAAGAAAAAGGCAGACAGACATTGTTCAGCCCTGGGGACAGTGTTCAGACTCTGTTCAGGTGGGAGGCAGAGGAAGCCCTGGAGACCGGAGCGGGTGAAGTGAGGACATCAGGAGAACCAGGCTGTTTTCAAACCGCAGCCCAGGGGCCTATGTTCCATGGCCTGTCTCTGAGGAGTGAGTGGAGGTCGTGGCAATTGGTCTAGTGGGGCCCGGGTGATGAAGGGAGCCTTGTTTGTAAAGCTCTGCACTGTACTCTTTATGAGACTTCATCCCTGTCCACAGCTTCCACTAGCTATCAGTGATTCACAGATCTCCCATCTCTTCTGAGACTGAACTCATAAACACAACAGCCTCAAGGCATCTCCCTCTCCCATCCTGCTCCTCCCCAGAGCTCCTGGTTGTAAGGTATAGCAGCAGCACAATCCCAGCCCAGGGATACCCCTGACACCTTCCCCTCCTTCCCCGCCACTCCCCTGAGGTCCTCTGTACTGGAAATAAGTACTTCATAGGCGGCCAGATGTGGCAAGTCAGGAATTATGGCATGGATACCCATAAAGCTAAACAGCTCATTATGTAGGAATAACATGTTGCCTCTGAACTTTAAGACGTGGAAATATCTCATTTAATCTCATTTATTTTTATCTATTGCATTTTATACTTAAATGGAATAAGATGTACTTTGCACTTACCTTGCAATTTCCAGATCTTCTTTGTGGACAAAACATTCAGAAGTGGACGGCTACAACAGATGGGATAACCCCACCTAAGCCTCTTGTTACAGAAATCACAAGCACACAGAAACGTGAATGGTGTGAGCTGATTAATTTGGCTTGTGGCAGCAAGTTCTTCAACATCATAAACTTAACCAGCTGGGAGAAAAATACTCAGTATTTAACACATCACTAATCTCTCATTGATTTATATTCTTCCATTTTATCTAATTTCTTTTTTAAAATGTTTGTTGTTTTTTGTTTTGTACCAGAGATCAAACTTGGGACTTTGTGCTTGCAAGGCAGGTGGCGGAACCACTGAGCTAACTTCCCAGCTCCTAAAAAATGAATGTTTTTGTTAATTTTTCACAACTGCAAGCCTCCTTCCCTGGGAAATGAGTATTCTTGCACATAGAATGCAGTAAGTCAGCAAATAATTGGGTACATTTCCAGTTAGTCTGAATTTTATTCTCTCTATTCATGTTCAATAAACGGAGAAACTTAGGTAACAGTTTTAATTTTTATTTGGTACTGGAGTTCGAATTCAGGACCTTGTGCTTGCAAGGCAGGCACAGTGCCACAGAGCTAAATCCCTGGTCCGAGTAACAGTTTTATAAAAAGGACATGATTTAGAAATGGGGTGAAGAATAAGAAATGACCACCAAGAAGCAACAGTAAGAATGAACACCCCTAACATGCAGGTTGTGGTCTGTAAATAGCTCTTTCTCTGAAGAGGAACAGGGCTCAGGGCAGGTAAAAAATGCCTGATTCCAGGTCTGGGGCAGATGTATTTAGAACAGAATTCTGGGAGTGCCTGGGAACTTAGGAGCTGAGCTGAAGAGACTCCTACTGGCCAAAAATGGGCAACTGGGAAAAATAAAAGGGGCTGAAAGAAAAATGCTTAGATGCAAAATTTATAATGATATTGAAAAACAAAACCCAATGGGATAACAGTGCATCAGAGTGGGCAGGAAACTAGATTATCAGAGAAGATATGTAACAACCAACAATGCTCGGGTTCTCTTTGAGCAGAATGTAAAATGCATTAAAAGGAAATCTGAACACATGTAGTAATTTTGGTATTAAAGAGTCATTTTTCATTTCTTCACAGGCTGTAATGGTATTGTGACTAAATTACAAAAACAGTTTAAGGTTGTATACTGAAATATTCCTGGGTGAAGTAACCGATAACTGAAATTTCCTCCAAAATAATCCAGGGTAAGCTGTGGCAATATAGATGAAAGATGATTGGCAATGAGTTGATAATTATTTGAAGCTGGATGATAGGTATATGGAAAAAATTGTTATACTATTTTTTTAAGACAGAATCTCTATGAAGCCCAGGCTAGCCTTGAACTTGCTATTAGCCCAGGCATGGCTCAAACTTGCAATCCTCCTGCCTCAGCTTCCCAGAATGTTGGAATTACAGGCATGTGCTATAAGGGCTGGCTATACCACTGCTACTTTTGGATACAGCTGAGATATAAGCTTAAAAAAAAAAGACCATGGAACAAGATATTTATACCACCACCACTCATAGTTTTGAAAGTAAAATTCATTTAATATTCTACTTTCTTTTAAACTGTAAAAGAACAGGAGCCACTGCCACTGCATCACACAGGCAATAAACCAAGAAAAAGTTACAAAAACCAAATATAAATAATGTTTTCTTTAGAAAAACTTCTGGAAAGTAAAATGAGAGGAAAGGACTAGGTGTCCACCTGTGGCTAAATGTCACCTTCTGCTTGGTCTCTGCTGCCTGAGTTTTCCTGAGACTCTGCCTCCATCACTGCGATGTCTTAGTGGCAAGAGTGCCTGAACACCAAAGGCACACTGTACAAGTCATCTCTTACTCAGCTCTTCCTGCATCTCATCAGAGCAAATAGTGGGGCACACAGGCACACAGGACTGTGGGGCTCAGAGGCTAATCATGCTCAACTTTACGGTTTATGAGCTGAGACACACTCTGGAACCCTCATTCCCTATGCTAACCCTGTGATGCATAACGTAAAGACTGAACAAAGCAAATCAAACCAAAAGGGACAGAGGCACTAGGATCTTGCACCGAACGGCTTCCAGTGACAAGACGATGGTATCTATTCCCTGCTTACCCACAGTCAGATTCTGCAGACAAAGTTTGGTGTTTAAGAGTCATTGTCCTGTACCAAAAGCCTGTTTAATAAATTTGGATTTAGAGTGAAAAATGTTTCAGCAATGAGAAAATGAAATGTGTCAAATGTTTTGAAAGGCAACAAATTGGGGCAAACTCTCTAAAAAATAAAAAAGGTATTTATTTTGTTTTTTTGAAATTAAATAACAAAATAATCAGTAAAAGCCAAAACAAAAACAAAAACAAAAAACACCCAAAAAGCTGACAATGACTAATTAAGCACAACAGCATTTATTAGTGAATATTAAAAATAAATTTTATCATTTTTATTTGCTTTTCCCTAACTTTGACTACATGGATGTTTTTGTAACCTTGAGTTCCTTAGAAAATTCCTGGCTGTTCCAGCTCCTACCATGAGTGAGTAAGGTCAAGGAAGGTCCCACTCCCAAAGGGAAATAAACTCCTGTCCTTGGAGATCCTGAACAACTAGACCCCTAGGAACTTCCAAAACAGGTACCTGCATTAGGATGGGGAAATGAGGAAAACACAACTACTGTCCACTGAAACATGATGCAGTCTGGGTTCGGGTACTCTTAAGGTTTTCTAAGTTCTCCGTAAGACTAGGAAATCATCTCTTGGCAGCCTGGACTGCAGCCACTGCAATATTCCTAACTAGCAGCCTTGCAAGCTGCAACAAAATTGGAATTAACAAAAGTGAAGGTCAAATTTTCAGCCTTTACTCCTGGGAGTCAAGAGGGCTCTCTGGGTAGGAAGGTACGGAGGTTTCACACCAAGCTAGCCCTTACATTCAATATTGGGGGAAAGGGCTGCTGAGCCTACCTAGTGCACCTGCGCACTGAGAATCTGAGTGTATGGAGAGTACTTACCCATCAACATACAAGGAAGCTAGAGTAAATCAGCAAGTCACTCAGGACCAAGCCCCTCAGAACAGAGGCAAATGTGGTGAACCAAATCCACCGCCTATGGTAAACATTTCAGTTCACCTCGGTCCTTTCCTGAAGAACCACATTTATCTCCTGGTTCAAGAGGCACCTCTGGCCAGGACAGAGCACAGAAGGAAGTGTAACTTCAGGCTACAGCCATGCCACATGGAGTTTAGAAGTCGTGGTATAGTGTAGAGCACAGAAGGCAGCTTCACTAATCCTTGGAGCTGGAGCGCGTGCTGGCGGGACCACACATCTGGAGCTTCCCTTCTATTGCAGCTTAACGGTGGACGCCCAGATGTCGTTGCTGGGGAGCGGGGGAAGGACCCATCCTTGGGGAACAGAGCTGCCTTTGGGATGATCAGCTGGCACAAGAAACTGATCCCAATCATGCCTTAATAAGAACATTATAGAGTAACAGTTTATTTCTGCTTTTTTCCAAGCAAGATGCTCAGCAACTAAATATTCTATTATTCCTAGAAGTTAGCTTTCAAATGATTGATATGCTAACTTTTATAAAACTTGATTTTTAGGAATTATGCAAAAGCTCACATTTCAGGAAAATACTCTGAAGGACTTAAAAAATCTTATAGATAACCAAATAATTAACATAGTTTATTCTCATTATTTTCAGGTTTTGTAACTGCAAATCTGTCTACACACTAAAATGTAATTGTAGCCCCTAAATCATCACTTGTGGGGATTTCATGGATACTTTAAGATACAAAGAATGGCAAAAAACCTGAGTCACCAAATGCGCATTCTGAGCTGAGGTCAAACAAGGTGACACTCACTGCGGCTTCTTGTCAACCCTCTCTTTTTGTGGTGTACTTAGTGTCATGTTTTGCACATTTCTGTGGTTTCACCAATGATTTTGCTGTTTAAAATGGCTGCTAAGGGTCACCGTATTAAGTGTCCTAGGGCTGTGATGTGCCTTGTGGAGAAAGTATGTGCGTCAGATAAGCTTCATTCAGGCACAGGTCACAGGGCTGTTAGCCATGAAATCAATGTAAATAAAGTGCTTTGAAACAGAAAAATACACATGAAACAAGGTACTGCTACTGCTCAGCTGATAAAAACATTGTGAACAGAGGTTCTCAGAAATGTGCCTAAGCCTGTGTTCCCAATAGAAGCAACAGTTCAGTATCTGGTAATAGAGCTTTTGCAGTGATTTGACACAGTCAGTTCTCCAGTGTGAATAATGAGAACTGACTGTATTGACGTTTCAAAGCAAAAACTTGCATATTGGCCAAAAATCAACTCTTTCCAGGAAATACACTAGGTATGCTAAACAGCATTCTTTTATGAGAATCATAAATTGTTAGCCCTTTGGGAAGGGACCTCAGAGATCACTTTATTTGGTGATTTTTCAAATCATACTTTGAAAACACCCCTAGACCCTAAGATGTTTGGGGAAGTCTATAAAACAACAAAGTGCTTCTGAGTAACAATGCTCTTAATCTACCTTGGGGAACCCACTCATTACATGTGTTTTACCGGCCAATTTCTCAAGAGACTGCAAGTGGAAAGAGCACTGCTGCCAGAGCCTGAAGGCTACATTCAGCCTGCCATCTCCATTTCATAGCTGAAGAGCTGAAGACTGGCTCAACGGTAACTGATGACTCAGATAAGGCCCTTCTTCCCTGCTCTCTGGGCTGTGACCTATAGGAGTCTGGGTAGTAACAGTTTCCACTGGCACATACTTGGGAGGGTTTCTCTTCTCAGGTGTGTTTAGCACCAGAAGAGAATTAGAAAAATAAAACCAATGCTTTCAAGTCAACATGAAGGCTACAAAAAAGGGCAAGCCACAGCCTGAGTTTCAGGGTCTTCGCCTGTTAAGACGCAGACAGCTTCTTTTGAAGCACAAGGAGGACTAAGCAAGAATACCTGGCATCCTTGAGACTTGCCAACATCATGAACCCACAGGGAACTTTTAAAAAAGATACAGTAACCAATCTCAACAAGTAAGCATCTCTCATCAAGTGCTCCTTGCTACCCTAGAGAAAGGCGACAAGAAGAGCCTGGCCCTCTGACCTTATCTGGATGAGTGCTGGAACAGAGTGCTCGGCCTGGAGGTAATACTGTCGGAAAGGCTGCAGGAGGTGAGCAAGGGGGAACTCATCTGAAAGAGAAAAGGCACAGTATGATGCGATGTCATCATGATTGTCATGGGCAGCGTATTTCTCAAAGCGAAGTGGCTGGGCCCATGATTATGACAGTTAGGATTAAATATGGAACCCAGGGCGTTTCCATATTAGGCAAGCACTCTACTGCTAAGCTACATCCCCTGCCCTAAGTGTATTTCGTATGAATCCACGTCTTCCATGATAGTCTACAACAGTGATGGTGAAACTTTGAGCTTTCAATGATAACAAACAGCCAACTGCAACACATAAGACATAGATTCACCACTAATGTTCAGAATCTCCAATCAGAAGATGTCATTTGTTGCCTCTACCTCTTGATTAAGATGTGATGTACAGCTGCCAATATTTTCCTTTACTCCACTAAGTACACAGGAATTTACCTGGATCTCCAAATAACTTGGATTCAATTTCACGTTTCTGAAGTAAAAATTTCTCTTTTTCTTTTCTCTGTTTCTTTTCCAATTCTCTTTTCCTCTCTTCTTCTTGTTCTCCTTCCAGCATCACTCTGAGGGCTCTCTCTTCCGCTTCATACAGTTCAGAGCGTTTTTTAATGAGCTTCCTGAGACGCTGAAGATGGTGCTCGAAAGTCTCATCTGCTGAGGCTGGAGGACAGACCCCTGGGCAAAAAGAACCAGTGGCATTTCAGATACAACTTTTTTCTTACCCCACAATCTGTATTCTAATAAGCAGCCTCAATGTCCTACCTTTAGCAGGAAAATGCTTAGAATTTGTAAATTCTACACACTTTCAAGGCTCAATTTGATCTTTCTCAATCTCCAGTTACACTGAACCTACTCTGAAGGCCTTCTCTTGTCTCTCTCTGGATCACACCACCAAGCCTTTGAGTCCAACTGTCTATCTGGACCGAGCGCTTACTAAAGGAAGGCACTTGTCTTAACTTATTCATGTTCATGAATTCTCTCATCATCAACTCCAAGTCTATCAGACAGCTGTCCCTCTGATGGGGTGCATTCTGGGAGTGCAGACCTCCTGAAGGACAAAATTCACATTACCCAGAGAACTGACCTCATGGTCTGCTGGACAGAATGGGGTGACCAGCTAATAATGCAGCCAACACAGTTAAAGCCACAGGTGGGAACAAGGAATTACTGCCTTTTTTCTTTTTTTGGTGTAATGACATAATTTGTAGTTGATGAGAAGTACTTTAAGTGTCCTATTTTTGTGCATGTATAAAATTTTAAAAAGTTTCATATTTTTTTTTAAATTAATTTTTTAAAAACAGGAACTCCAAAGTGAGTTTTTATTTTTATTTTAACAGGGCCTGGGCTACAGCACACAGGTTCAATATATAGGAGGGAGCCTTCTCAATCAAGAAAAATTTTAAGGCAAAAAAAACTTGACTGGACTGCAATTGTGTTCACTACCATAAAGGCTCTGCAACAGAACAGCTGCTAAAGCTGCCTGGTGAAGCAATGCTGAGTGGTGGGTGTGTGTCATCTTGTACACATGAAGAGTTTATAAAGAAAAATTGATTTATTTGCCAAAGCATTTTAATACCAGATACAAGGAATCAAAAGAATCCCATTGCCCTGCTATAATCAACCTTTACTTCTTCATGTCTCTTTTAAGTCTTTATTCCTGCCAGCGTTCCCTCCTTTCTTATTGTTGTCATTGTTTTCCTCCTTCCTTGTTTTTTGAGAAAGGATCTCACTGTGTAGTTCAGGCTGGCTTTGAACTCAAAGTGCTCTTCCTACCTCAGCCTCCCAAGTGCTGGGATTACAGGCGTGAGTCACCATGCCCAGCTTTGTGCCTACATTTAGCAAATTCCTAGAGTTTAACACAGTATATGTGTAATTTCTACACGTGCATGTTTAATCTCCAGTCTTCATAGCTAACGTCTCTATTCAATTTCAACAAATCATTGTATTATAGTGTAATTAACAAGCTTCCTACTCCTGGACCCTTCTGCCTCTCCAACACCCTGTTATGATATAATGCTACAGTGGGATATTTTCAGGTATGTTACTTTTTCCTTCCTATGCATCATTTCTAGAAAATAAATGCTCAAGAATGTACATGTTTATGGTTATTTGCAAGACTACCAAAATGCAGTAATAAACTGCTTTCTACATAAGCCACACGTTTACTCAGTAACTTAACACCTGACACAAAGATAAATATTTCTTTGCTGAATGAATAGTTTTAACAGTACTTTAGCAGTTTATGTAGCCATCTATGAAGTACAATCCTGCCAACTTTGAACACTAAAATTTTAATGCTGGCTGGTGAGTGGCCTACAAATAATTGTTCCTTAAATTTAGTAGTTCTGTCTCTTGTGAGCTTTAATTTTGAAGTGTGATTTTGTTTTCTCTCCCTCAACTACTAGCTAGCTATGTAGTTGTGGCTTCTGTTCTCCAATTCCCCATTCAAGGCTAACATTTTCCCAGATCATTTTTTTTACCTCTTTGCTTGAACAGATTTACATTCACTCATTTTCAATTATGAAAATTCTACAAATCAAAATCACCTACTAAGTTGCCAGGCTAGTATTTTCCAAGTTCAAATGGAAACTGCCGCTGTTTTGTAATAATTTTTATGGTTTTGTTTCATTTCCTTTATTGTTTTCTGTAAAGGGCCAGATAGGAAATACTGTAAGTTTTACAAGTCATATAGTCTGCTGTTATTAAAACCTGCTGGTTTGGTTAAAAACTGCAGCCTCTCCATTAGCCCATGAGAGCCTTCAGGCCCTCAAGAAGCGGTGGCCTGCTTCACCCTTGGCCTGCTGTCTGGGTCCCACTCACACTTCTCCTCAAGCCCTCCCCGGTGACACCCTGGTTACCTTGACACAGCCCTCATCCTGCTTTCCCCATGGACAGGTGTCACCTCAGTTTCCTCCACATCTCCCACACACTTCCTCTCTCCCTCAGCCCTCAGGCCTGGTCCAGTACGGACTGTAATGATCAGAAAAAGCTTTCCACCTCTGCAGGCCACGCCTGGTTATTCTCTTCTCTGACTACCACTTTCCACCCGCTCAAGAGATCCCTCCTCCCCAGAGACTTATCAGCTTTATCAAAACCTCCAGACCTAAGATATCTGTGTTTCCATCCTTCTTACTTTTCTCTCCAAAACTTGTGGCCGCTCCATAAAACAAAACTTCAGTAGCTCCACACTCTATGCTTCCCTGCAGCACAAACTCCTGGAAGCAGTCTTTGTCAGCTGCTCCGAAGCCCCTCCCACCAAGCATCTTCCATGGGTCTCTGGTGGGCTCTTGCCCATGCCTCATGCCCCTTATTTCAAACAGTCACCAAACACCACTGCTCTCCTAAAACCAATCCAACCTACTTCTCCCAAACACACTGGTGAGCAGGAAGCCCCTCAAACTCTGTCCCTGACTGCACCCACCTGCCTTCCTCCCCATCCTTGCCTCTATTTTCACACCTGAGGAAGGTGAATACTTCTCTACTTGTAGTAAGTCCTCCACCTTGGACCTGAATCTCCATACCTTGCAGGACAGCCGGAGCCACCATTATCTGGCCACTTCTGTCTTTGACCCTTCCCCTCCTACTCCCTCCTTCACTTAGTGTTTAAACACGCTCGGGTTCTCCCTGAACCCTAAGTCACACAATACCCCATCATCACCACCAACACCACACACCCAGCCCAATGCTGATCTTGTTCTCACTCCTTTTCCCCGAAAGCCATCTTTTAATAAACTGAATTTACTGCTTGCCTTACCTCCCTTTACTCTCTAACCTCTTCTGATCCAGCTTCATCTCCCCTCCCCCACTGTCATGGCCCTGGCATGTCACTAATGACTGGTTGGGTACTAATTCCCGTAGGTGTTTCTTGGCCTTTGTATTACTTGGTAGTAAAAAGAACAATAACTTGCAGCACTTCAGTAACATCTACTGTGTTTCAGTAACACACTGTAACTGATTTAGTCCTCTTAAGACTCATAGGTAGGTGCTATAATTATTCCCCTTTTGCAGAGGAAGAAACCAAGACACAGAAGTTAAATGATCTACCCAAGATTAAAGACTCCCTCTAAGCACTTGCCACTTTCAGGAGGAGGTAAGAAGCCCACTTCTTTAAGGAGGCCACCTTTTCCTCCTGTCCCTGACCGCTCTTGGTCTGTTTTGCAGTCTCCTCTTTACCTAACTTGATTCTGACATTCTCTAGGACTTCATCTTTCTGGTCATCTCCTGCCATACAATCTCCCTTAGGTCATTCTGACTTAGGGCTACGTGCTGATCCAGTATGCACCACGGTCTCCACAAACCCAACATGCCCCAAACTGAACCAACCCGTCTCAGGCCTGTTTCTACTGTTTTCCCTCTCGACTGGAATGGTCTCATCACTCACTCAGCATCATTTATTTCGTAACTGCGCTCCCACATGCTGTGTTCACACAGTCACTATCTCAAGTTCATTTCCTGTGCTCCAACTCACTTAGTTCACACAATCATACTCTCCCTGACAGATGCTGCAACACACTTCCCAGTCTCTCCCCTCTTCTCCTCACTGCTCAGATACTCCAACCTTTCCCTGCTCTGTCAGCACTGGTCTTTGTCATCATTTCACTCTCTGCTTAGCATCTTCCAGTATTTCCCCCCAACTTTAAGGGCGAGTGAGAACTCTGGCCTGGCCCATGAAACAATTTGGAACGGAGTCCTGCTTACATCTCCCAGCTTATTTAGAGGTACACACAACTTTAAGAGAGAAGTCAGAGAGCTATTCGTTTTTAACTATACAACTAGCTGCTAGTTAACTCCCCAGAGGCTGCTTACTTTTAATGATCAGAAATTTCTTCTTTTCAGACTGAAGTGAGGAAGATATCTACACTGGGAATGCATGCTGGTAAATTCACCTGGCAATTTACCAAGCACTCACCCTATGGAGGCTATGGGGTTGGGAGTATTAGAGTAGCCCTCAGGCTGGGGATCTAGTTCAGTAGTTCAGAGCACTCGCCTAGCATGCCTCAGACTCTGGGTTCAATCCCCATCATTGCAAAAAAAAAAGTACGCCTCATGGTTTGTTTCTTAGTAAGAAAGAGAGAAGATGCTGACTCTCCTTTGATTTACAAGTGCTCTAAAAGAACAACAGTGGAATCATCTGATTCTGACCTCTGAATGTGAACTGGCCACTACTGCAGCATGCTGAAGCCAAAAAGCCAGTAAATGAGCCTGCCTCATGAAAATGGTCATCCAGCAATTTTAAGGGTCTAAAAGAATTTTTTTCATTTATATTTTAAACCACACAAGGGAGATCATTTGGTATAGTAGCACTTGCTCTCAAATCTCTGCTGAACGTCAAAGGCCTACCAGCTACTACATAAGGCAGGATGTGGGAACACATGAGGTACCATTGCAAAGGAGTGGCAGGTCCCTTCAGCCCGAGCAGGAAGGATGGAAGTGACTCCATTTGTATTTGCTTTTGATGGATAATGAGATCTTAATGTAGCAAAGTGAGACTGAAGGCCCTCAAATGAAAGCATGGCAAGAAGAAAGACTGAGATAGGTAAATGGAAAGCATGACTAGGCAACTTTTGGAAAGCCAACATGGCTGGAATAAACCAGCTTGGCTATGGTATCTGCACTCCCTCAATGGCAAGAAGAGACCACTGAGGTCTTTTGAGTCTAAAAATGACAGGCAGCCCAGCATGGTGGTGCAGCCTGTAATCCTATCAGTCTGGGAGGCTGAGGCAGGAGGATCACAGGATTGAGCCCTGCCTGGGTAATTTCATGACTTGGCAACACCTTATCTCAAAATGAAAAATGAGCTGAGGATGTAGCTTGGTAAAAAAGCCCAGAGTTCCCCAGCACTGCAAAATGAATGAATGAATGATACATGCAGGTACTCTCTACCCTGTCCAATCATTCATATTTCTTCAGATAGCAATGGTTCAGGTTTGATTTAAATGCATCAGAAAGAACATGACAAGTTTTCAACCAACTTCTAGTGCAGCAAGGACAGTAAATCTTTCAGTTTGACACATGGCAAAGATGCTGAGCCACAGCCAGTCCATTTAGAAAACTGTGGCCAAGAATGCTTGGACCAGACACTGCAGTGGGCTCCCAAACCTGCTCCTGTCCCCTCCCTCCCTTTCTTCCTTTAGCTAGCTGTCTGTCTGTATCTATTTATCATGATACTGGGGATTGAACCCAGGGCCTTCGCACTGAGCGACATCTCCAGCCCTTTTAAGTTGTTAAGTTGCCCAGGCTGCATGCAAACTTGTGATCCTGCCTTGACATTGAAGAGTGTTGGCATTACAGGTATGTTCTACCACACCTGGCTACCTGGGGCTAAACATCGGAAGTTTTCTGCTTTAGAAGTTCTAAGTTACTTCTGAGAAGTTCAGTTACTTAAGATTGGAGATAAGGAGGGCATAGTACTGCACACCTGTAACCCCAGCACTCAGGAAGGTGAGGCAGGAAGACTGCTGCAAATTCAAAGCCAGCCTGTGCTACATGGTGAACTTCAGGCCAGCCTGAATTACACAGTGAGACCCTATCTCAAAAAAATGATGTATTAAATACTTTTCTCTCAAAAATATTTGAGAGCTGGAGATTTAGCTCAGTGATTCCACCACCTGCCTTGCACTTGCAAGGTACCAAGTTTGATCCCTGGCACCAAAAAAAAAAAAAAAAAAAAAAAAATTGGAGTTGGGAGGCATCAGGATAAAGAATGGGAAGGAAAAGGAAGAAAATGTAAGTAGAAATGCAAAGTCTCAGTTACCTTTCCTTGCTGCAGCCTCTTTTCTCAGCTTCCTCAATTTCTCCAAGGCTCGAAGAATATCTACCATTCTTTTGGTGTCTGCTTGTTTTTTCCTCACTTCAGATAAGACACCATCAGCAGCAGCTTTGAGTTCCTGTTCCTGGAGGAGAAACAGTCCATGAGACCTTGTGATCAGCATGGGAGTTTTGACCTGTTCCGTTTCCTGTTCAGCCCTCCTTAGGCAACCTGGTGGTACCCCACTCCCAGGTCACCATATTGATGCTGAACTTAGTGTGGACACCTGACTGGCATAGCTCACTGCAGCCCAGACCTCTTGGACTAAAATGATCCTCCCACCTCAGGCTTCTGAGTAGGTGGGACTACAGGTGCGCACCACTATGCCCAAGACCTTGTATTAGAAACAACCCTATAGCAGAGCACGTGGCTGCCCAACAGTGAGATTTCAGAGGATCATACTGACCCAAGGTTGAGACTAATCAATCTATATCCCAAGTTTCCTAGGCCTGGCACAACACCCACCCCTCTATAAGGGCACCGCCAAGGGCTTATTCCTTATACTGACTGTGCACTCTTCTGAAAGGAAAAGCTCTCCTCTCTGAAGCTTCCTTGCAGGATTTTGCTTCTCTTGGGGTTTCTCACAGCATGATCTAGGGAGCATCTATGTCCATCTTACCTTGTTAAACTGGGGCTTTGTTGTTAAAAATGCAGGCTTATCAACATGAAGATTCAGGCTCCGGGAGAGGAGGAGAAATGGAACTCTATGTGAAAACCTATGCAGCCTGTGCTATATTGCTCCAAAGTCCCCAGAACTGACTGGCCTTGAATTTACTATGTAGCCCAGGCTGGCCTCAATCCCACAGTGATCCTCCTGAGTGCTGACATTACAGGCACGTGCCACCATACCTGGCCTGAATTCCCAGAATCTCTTGCACATGGTTAGCTTCCAAACATTTGAGGACTACAAACCTACTCTTCTTGAGTTGGCTCAAATGTACAGTAAATCACCCCATTCTTCACGGGATTCTATCCCCAATATCCTTATCCTCTTACCTGAAGTTCTCTCTGCTTATACTTCCATCATTAGCACCAACAGCCTGCTGTTTCACTCTTCAGCTTGGATTAGGGCTGCACCTGTTGCTTTCACCTGGCTTTAACACTTCTTTCAAAGCTCTACTCAGATGTGTATCATCAGGGAAGCTTTCTTCCAGGGGATTCCACGTCCCTTCCCTAGGGTCCTCAGAGCATCTACAGTTGAAATCCTAACATAAACCATGCTATACTACCATAACCCTCTTGGGCTCTAAGCCTCCAAAGACACATGAGCTGTGTACTCTATCCTTGCAAGGCACTGGGCCTGGCACCTAACAGTCCCTCATTAAATGTCTGCTGAACTGACTCAAATTCCCCCGTGTCAGAGTCCTCTGGTGAGGCATTCCCCTTTAAAGCAATATTCCTGAGGATACAATGATGAAGCCTGCCAACAATACAATTCACAGTAAAGTTTATCAGACTCTAGGGCAGTAGCAAATGTGACTGGGGAGAATACAGGGAGGAGGGAAGGTAATCCCAGCAGCACTCAAAAGTCATGAGAATCCTTTAAACAAGTGTTTCACCCATTTGCAGTTTCACCTTGACCCTATCTTGAGATAGTCTTTGGAATCAGATAACTTGGGCTTAAATTTGAAAACAAACAGCTACAAACTGGTTGTGTGATTTTTGGCAAATTAATCTCTAAGACTCAATTTCTAATCTGTAAAACTGGGGTAATCCCTCTTATTTCTCAGGGTTGTTATAAAAAGATCTCTGTATACAACGATCTTCAGTAACATCTTAGGGAGTATCATATAAATTATTAAAAAAGACCACTGCTGAATCTGGAAATATATGCTGTAAAATCAGTTACAAATCGTGGGGACATCACTATTCATTACTATACCCATGAGCCAGTCTGGGTGTGTATCAGAGACCGATTTCCTCTGACTGCCTAGAAACGGGGATGGAGAGAGCTGAAGAAAAATGACAATAGAGACTTGCATAATTTCAAAATACATGGGGGTCCAGGAGGGAGGTCAGTGCCTCAGAGTGGGCAAAGACAGACTTTCCGAAGTCACCACTATTTATTGGGTGCACAAAATAACTAGGGTATCAGATGACTTGGGGGGCAGCGGTGATCTTATATCTGATCCTGTGACAGTGCAAAACTCATGCTGATGAGGGTGGAAAGGAGAGCATTCCCACCTCAGTATGGCATGAGCTGAGCTCATAAGGAACTGTCCGTCCCCAGGTGAAACCATTCTCTTTCGTATTGCTACTGGCTTTTCAAGGAACCAGGATTTCTTCAGCTGATGTTATCTTGCTGTGGAACGATCACAGCTTCACAGACCTTTGAGGCCTCAGCTGCAACCTGAGGCAAAATAGAGTTATGTTTCTGCCATAGCCGGCTCTAGGGCAAGGCAACACTGGGCCTTAGACAGCTAGTCATACTTTAATTATGAAATGATCCCCCCCCCAAATTTATGCTCCTGACAGGTGTGTATGTTACTAGAGGTACGGCGCCAGGTTCAATTTTGTGTTCTTGAAATCATCTAGGGCTGGGGGTGCCACTCCACACACCAATACTCCCAGCTAATCGGTAGGCTGAGGCAGAAGGATCAGAAGTTCAAGGCCAGCCTGAGCAACTCTGCAAGAAACTGTCTCCAAATAATGGCTGGGGATGTACCTTAGTAAAGGGCTCCTGGGCTCAATTTCCAGCACCAGGGAAATAAGAACCATCTAGAGCAGTGAAAGACACAGGAATCATACACCTGTCAGTTCAGAGTATTAATGGGTACATACAACTTCACAGCAGGATGCAAGCGACCTGTCCTCCCAGCGATGCAACTGTGTAATGGTATAACGTTTGTAGGACTGGACAGTGCACGTGGAGCTTTTGTCTTGTGTTATACATCACACATGGGCAATTAATATATAGGTTCGACGTGGAAAGCCAGCTATTCCTGATTTTACGAATAAGCAAAAAGACTAAGCGTGGGTTCCAAACCACCAACATCCGCTACCGCGTCGCGCGGCTGCCACTCTCACCCGTTTCTTCTCCTCCACTTCCTGCACGCACTTGACCCTCCAGCGGTCAATCTCCTGCTCGCGTTCTGCTGCCCGGGCTGCTTCTGCTTCTCGCTCGGCCTCGCGTTCTCGGGTCCTCTCGCGAAGCCGCAGCCGACGACGCCGGACCCTCTCCAGCCTCCGGCGCGCCTCGCCTACATAGGCGGCCTGGGATAGAGGTTGCAGCCGCTCGGCCAGTTCGGTACGCAGCGGCGCG